TGGGTAAACCAACAAAATTAATTGTTCTTTCTCTCTTCTTTGAAATCGATGACGTGATAAAGTCAAAACCAAGAAACTGTTGGCATAGTAATAGCATCGTGCTGTTTCGAATTTACCTGCTGGAAAAATGTTCAGTGCCTCTAGCATAAAAAACTTTCGTCTTCGAATCGTTTGCGTATTCGACAATATTCGATACTCAACCTTCGACGATAACGTGACAATTTTGATTCTCAAAATAAGTTTCGTGCAACCATTCTCATACTAAGTTCACTTTACGATACGTTCACATGGGCACTGTTTTAGTTTTCGTCGTTTTGATGGCGATTCGAATACGCAAACGATTCGAAGTCGAAAGTTCTTCGTGCTAGAGGTACTGATGGAACGAATTAAAACTAAAACCTGTATAATGTGTACTTATTGAATCAAATCAAATAAAACTGACTAAAAATATTATTATATTGAAGACAAAACCTAGATGTTTTAATGCCTTTATCATCAGCATCACAAAGGCTTTCAGTATTAGCATGCCAGTTATTTTCAGCGCAATTTTGAGCCGTGAAATTATGAACTGGCTGTGTAATCAATTAATGAAACTACCCGCGCGTAATGTACTGCCGCCGCAAGCCACGGGCGCCGCAATGAGGTATTGTGCTGGACAGGCCTGTTTCCCACCGAAGCGGAGCGGAGCGGAGATGTGCGGAGTCAAGCGGCACAGCGCGCAGGTCATTTCTGAGAGACATTTAGTTCCCACTTCACTCCGGAAACAGATCGTAACCGTATCACCTCGAGGCGGTCAGTATTCTTTGTATGAAACTCCGTACACTTTATATCCGCACCGTAACTTAAACGCCTCGCCACGCGACGAAAGGCGATACGGTGTTGATCCCTTTCTAGGCTGATAGGTGTGCTATGAACTTTAGAATGTTGGAACACCTCTTTTCTCAGCCGTTTCCACTAAAACCAGCGAAGCACACGTATATGGAAAGTCTATTTATTGCTTACTAGCTTTCCGCGTGAAATTTTGTCTGTCACAGAAAAACTGCGTCCCTGTTTCAAAAACCAGGATAAAAACTATCCTACGTCCTTTCCCGGGACTCATAATATCACTATGCCAAATTTCATCAAAATCGGTTCAGTGGTTTAGGCGTGAAAGCAAGACAGGCAGACAGACAGACAGAGTTACTTTCGCATTTATAATATGAGTATAGATAGAGTATAGATATATAACACGTCTCGTCTCCTTTCGCCTCGTCTCCGCCTTGGTGGAAAACAAGCCTTATGTTTGTTGGATTTACAGTACACTCACAAAGGCGATTGCGTTGCGTTGCCGATGCGTGTTATGGTGTATTTACACACAAAATCCTTTGCAACTGACCCACAAAGTAAAATCAGAGATAAATTTTAAAATGGAAACTTTGGAGAGTAATAATCCAGACCAATATTTTGTAATGTGGAAAGAAAAAGCAAAAAAAACATATATTTTTTAAATAAAAGGCCCTTAGACGTAGCATTTAAAAATGGTAAATAAAGTACTCAGTTACTTTTTAAACTGGTTGTCAGTCAAACCCCTTTGATTTTCAAGCTGCAAAATAAGAATAAGAATAAGAATGTCTTTATTCAGCATAATTATCATTTAAGGTAGGTATACAAAGCAAGAGTAAGTACATAAAAAAACATAAAAACATAACAAACAATAAATAAAAACATATGCTGAATAGGCGCCCGCTCAGCAAAAATCGCGACATGACACAAGTGAGTGTAGTAGAAGTTAATTAAATGAAAGAGTGGACTGTATACAATTAGTTGTCTATTCGGTATAAATAATTAACAATATTATCGAGACCGTTTTGTGCAAGGTCGTTGAAGAGAGTGCGTCAGGATCGTCTTCTTCGATGTTCGCTCGCGAACCGAACATTGCTCGTTCGTTCGCCGAACGCTCGCCGCTCCCTCCGGTCACGCCGCCCGCGGGCAATGTCCGTGAGTAGACACGCGCCCTTCTGGTCGAAAACTATTGCAATATGACATTCTATCATCAATTTTAGAAATCACTATCTAGTAAATCATCCTAACTACTGACTGATCGCGCGGATCCAGAAAAATTACAAAGATTACCTCTACCCTAAATAAAAAACATAACCCCTCATTCTGGCGCAGACGGGTAATTAAATAATTAACTTTTTTAAAAAATAAAACCGACTTCAAATGCGTGAACACAAAAAAAACTAAAAATTGAAAATATTGCGTATAAAAAAGTTCATCCCCAATTTTCCACCCTTGGGGGTGAAATATTTTCTTCAAATTCGCATGAAACCACCCTTTTGATAATACCTATTCAACAAAAAAATTATCGTTCAAATTGATTTATAATCGGCGGAGATATTGCGTATAAAAAGTTCATCCCCAATTTTCCACCCTTGGGGATTGTTTTTTCTATTATTAAATTTAAATGGGACCACCCTTGAGGTATTACCTATACGCAGAAAAAAAATTTGTTCAAATCGGTTCATAATTGGCGGAGTTATCGCGTAACAAACATAGAAAAAAAAAACATACGGGTCGAATTGAGAACCTCCTCCTTTTTTGAAGTCGGTTGAAAATAGGCCTGCGTATCAACACTCACAAGTCACAAAATAGGTTAGCAATAAAAACAGCGTGTTGTATGGTCAGCATACAAAATGGACCCGAAAACTAATCAACGCGGTGTGTTTTTAATTAAAACTGATTGTCAACACGATAGGTATGCCATGCCATCTGCATGCGAGTTAGGGCTGCCAATCGTGGCTTGTGAGAAAAAGTCGAAGGGTTTTGGAGACTATGTAGATCTACCGTGAATGAAAATGAAATATTGATGTAATAATATACAAACTTGTTGAAGCACTTAAAAAATATAAGTACATACTTAATCAATAAGTACCACATTCTCATTTGAACCTAATTATGATAGTAACGTCGTAGTCGTATTACCTTACTACAACTACGGCGTAGTACGTACTGATTCGTAGCATTCGTAGCTGTTTGCAGCCTTGGCGTAGTTGTAGCTCGTATCGTAGTCCGTAACGTAGGTAGTTAATTGACCTATTTACTTAAATGTGAACAATTTTTATTTAAGATTTAGATTTAGAAACTTCTTTTCTTTTCTTACCATAGTAAAACTTCACAATTCAATTATCTCATTATAAAATATCAGAATTGTTTTCATAGTTAGCAACCCTAATGCGTGCTGAATTTGCGCCAAACTTATGTAATTAAAATTTTGCCTAATAACAATAGCCTGCTAAACTCTTTGGTTAAACCTGTTTCTGTGTCCAATATTGGTTCCAGGTTTTTTCTGAACGAATGAATTTTAATAGCAGCTTAAAAGTAGTACCTACTTACTCTGGTATCATTGGTGTCAAGTCATATAGATCGTTTCATCAACGAAGACGCGCCCCACCATACGTCCGCTAATGTTCGAATGCTATCGGTACACACTAAATCATCCATGAGTGCACACGCACACTACATTAATGACACTCGGATTGCTCGGATCAAACTCCGCACCCCGCGCTTCCCTCGACCAAAAATTGGTGGGGCGCGTCTTCGTGGATGTAACAACTTATACAGGTTTCTTTATCTACGAAAAACAAAGACTTTTGCCGTCGATTCCCAGCTGTACGGGTTGATATTCCCTATGAGGACAAAGTTCTGAATAGTGTTGTTGCTATATCGATTTTCAAGAATTGTGAAAAGCTCTTATTAATCAAAACTGGGCACACTGAAAACCAGCGCCGTGGCCTTCGTCACCGTGGGCCACGGCATATGCTGAGTGGGGTCCCGTTGCAGTGGGCATCTTGTTGGTGGATGGGTGGCACTGCTCAGTTTACTCTTGTTTTTATTTTTTCTTCTTCCATTATTATGTGCCACTGTCATGTCTATGTAATTGCCTGTATTTGTGTGATGTCCATTGTAATAAATGTGTCTTTCTTTCTTTCTTTCTTTCTTTCAAAACTCTGAAGGTAACTTGCTTATCTCGTGAGTGAAATAATTTTATTTGTTTTATTTTTATTTTATTTAGATTTTTCTTTTATTTATGAATTATAATTATGAAAAAGAAAAATTCAAAGTATTGGTCATCAAATTATGTAACTATTGCGCTAAAAAAATAATAGACTTAACATACAAAGTGGGCAGTGGCGGATTTAGAAATTTGCCGCTAGTAGGCCAGTCAATTTTTGCCGCCCCTTCTGACTTTTGAAATTCAATACGTTAGTTTAATCCCGTTATTAGTATGATTGTGAAATTAATGATATTTCTGTCAGTTACTAGATTATTATTGTAACCCGCTATGTACTGAAAAGTTTAATGTTGACCTAAAACATCAGCATGTACTAATCATAAGGTGGGGAAAGGCATGACTTAAAAATACTACACTATATGAACACAGACAAAATAATGTGTGGTCAGTAAACATTGTTTTTGTTAAATATTTTTTATTGCACTTAACAGTTTAAAAACAATACAAACAATTTCTATTAAAATATAACATGTTAACAATCCAGTTAATGGTGACAGACAATGAGATCAAATAAGTTTTACATTATTTTCTTGCGAGATTTTAAAGGACANATCTGTGCTATTAATAAATAGTTTCAGAAAAGCAGGACGTCTCTTTCATTCGAATTTTTTATAAAGTTAACCTAATTAAGTGGTAAGTTAATTTACATTCATTTACTTTCTATCAGTAAGTTCAGATTGTGAAATAGCAATTACCCACTTTATGTAAGAAACTAAACCTTCATCATCATCATCATTTCAGCCATAGGACGTCCACTGCTGAACATAGGCCTCCCCCAATGCTTTCCACGTTGATCGATTGGTAGCAGCCTGCGTCCAGCGCTTCTCTGCTACCTTTACGATGTCGTCGGTCCGCCTTGTTGGAAAACCGGCTGTGTAGGCGTACCGGAAAACGCAACTTAACCTTACTCCAAAGTAATTTGACTTCCAATCTCTAGGTAATCCGTTCACTCAAATATTTTACTATTCTGTGGGACTCTGAACCTTATACTAACTGCATACGCACCTTCTTCAAGCGTGCTCTGCTGCCGGAAGACAGCTGCGTTTTTCTGCATGCACTTCTGCATACGTAGACGCAGGTCAGCGGTGGGAATAGCTCCATTCGCGTAACGGATCTGGTCCAGGTTCGCGATACTGGCTTCACCGGTTGACTGATGAAAAAATGTATTATTAGTGAATAGTACAGTAGACAGTGTATCGAACTATACATTTTTGGAGCAAAATAGCAACTATTATAAATGTATAAGATGCCACAAAGTTAGCTTTATGTACTGTCGTCTGTACATAAATCATAACGGTGTCATACTCAATTAACTAGTAAAAAAAAAATGTTTTATTAAAAGGACAATGGGCAAAATGGTACCCGGCTCCAATAGATATGCTTCTAATGTCGTTTGAAAGGTCTTAACAAGACGAACAACTTTTACTATGGCCATCAGCCTCAGATCTGGTTGTGTTCGAAGATAAACATATTTTTTTGCAAAATGGTACCCGGCTCCAATGGTTATGTTTGTAGTGTCATTTGAAAGGTCTTACCAAGACGAACAACATTTACTATGGCCACCAGCCTCAGATCTGGTTGCGTTCGAAGATAAACATACTTTTTGTGTAACCGAAGTATCATACGTGTCCATCGTATGGTACTTAGGTTATGCGAGGCATGAAGGGTTTACTGCTGCAGCATCCTTCCTTAACTCTATAATTATTGATAGGGATAATTGTGAAATAAATGTTTTTATTTGAACAACTACTACCCTCTTATTAATAAAAAGTTATACCTAGGATGAACCTTGGATTAAAATGACATTTCCATACCAAATGACAATTTAAGCCAGAGTTCAACTAGGGTGTAACTTTTATTAATAAAGGGGTTGGAGTTTTATTACTTCTTAAGGGTTTTATTATGGGCGAATAAACCCACAATACCCAATAAGTCCACCCACAAGATGGACCGACGACCTCATAAAGGTAGCGGGAAGGCGCTGGATGCAGGCCGCCACCAACCAGCCATTGTGGAAATCATTGGTTGAGGCCTATGTTCAACTAGACGTCCTATGGCTAAAATAATCATGATGATGATAATGAAAGCGAATAAAGGGCTAATGGCTTGGGTAGTTCATCGTAGGTATAATCCTTTCCTTTTCAATGTTTATTTTAGTTATATTAATAGATTCTAGTCATAAAACATACTCGTACACATGGATGATTGTGTTATACTTTCATAATAATACTTAGTGGAATTACTGCTTTCAAAACGTGAATTAGAACTGGCCCCATAGCAGAAATTTTTCTACATCTAAAGCAGTGGCGGATTTACAAATTTGCCGCTAGTAGGCCATTCAATTTTTGCCGCCCCTACCTACTGACTTTTGAAATTCAATACGTTAGTTTAATCCCGTAATTAGTATGATTGTGAACTTAATGATATTTCTGTCAGTTACTAGATTATTATTGCAACCCGCTATGTAATGAAGAGTTTAATGTTGACCTAAAAACAGCAGCATGTAGGTACTAATCATAAGGTGGGGAAAGACATGGACTTAAAAATACCTACACTATATGAACACAGACAAAAATATAATGTGTGGTCAGTAAACATTATTTTTGTTAAATATTTTTTATTGCACATAGCAGTTTAAAACAAATACAGACAATTTCTATTGAAATACCTTTAACATATTAACAATCCAGTTATTGGTGACAGACAATGAGATCAAATAAGTTTTACATTTTCTTGCGAGATTTTAAAGGACAATGACCAAAAGTGGTCCAAATGTCCACCACTATTGAGACCTATATTGGCTTATAGTCCATTAAATAGAGATTAACTTTCAGTATGGGACGAAAAAAAAATAAGCTGTCAGTAAAAAGTTATGACCGTATGAAAAATTGTAGTTGTTTACGCGCTAATCTCAGGAACTACTGGTCCGATTTGAAAAATTTTTTTTGTTATGGATAGCCCATTTATCAAGGATGGTTTTAGGTTAATAATATCACCCTACAACCAATAGGGGCGGAGCAGCGACCACCCGACCATAATTCCAATATTGTTGTCTTTCTTCTGAGCTTATTTTTTTTTCTTTTAGCGAGAATCTAACACGGCACACTAAGCGATATGACATAACATGCATAGATTAATCCAAAATGTGCGATGGATAGAATGATATCAAGAACATTTTTCGGATGAAAAGTTATAACATGACTTTTCATTCAGTCATAACTTTTTACTGACAGCATATTTTTGATTGCGGTTTGGTTATAATGAATTGTATTTAGTAGACTATTTTACTACATATAGGTCTCGTTAGTGGTGGACATTTGGACCACACTCCATACATTTTTGGTCATTGTCCTTTGCAAAATCATTAATTATATCGTCNGAAAAGTTTAATGTTGACCTAAAACATCAGCATGTACTAATCATAAGGTGGGGAAAGGCATGACTTAAAAATACCTACACTATATGAACACAGACAAAATAATGTGTGGTCAGTAAACATTGTTTTTGTTAAATATTTTTTATTGCACTTAACAGTTTAAAAACAATACAAACAATTTCTATTAAAATATAACATGTTAACAATCCAGTTAATGGTGACAGACAATGAGATCAAATAAGTTTTACATTATTTTCTTGCGAGATTTTAAAGGACAATTACCAAAAGTGGTCCAAATGTCCACCACTAATGAGACCTATATTGGCTTTTAGTCCATTAAATAGAGATTAACTTTCAGTATGAAACGAAAAAAAAAATAAGCTGTCAGTAAAAAGTTATGACTGTTTGAAAAATTGTAGTAGTTCACACGCTAATCTCAGGAACTACTGGTCCGATTTGAAAAAATATTTTTGTTTGCCCATTTATCAAGGATGGTTTTAGATTATATAACATCACCCTACAACCAATTGGGGCGGAGCAGTAAAGACAAATGTTGTAAAAATGGGAAATATTATTCAAACTACATATTTTCACGCGTACAAAGTCGTAGGCACAGCGAGTTTATTATATAATTAAATTCATCTATGCGTATTCAACATGCGTAGATTAGTCCAAAATGTGCAATGGATAGAATGATATCAAGAACATTTTTCGGATGAAAAGGTAAAAAACATGACTTTTCATTCAGTCATAACTTTTTACTGAAGCATATTTTTGATTGCGGTTTAGTTATAATGAATCAGTATTTAGTAGACTATTTTACTACATAGGTCTCGTTAGTGGTGGACATTTGGACCACACTCCATACATTTTTGGTCATTGTCCTTTGCAAAATCATTAATTATATCGTCGTATGAAATCTTTTTCATAAGTTCTGACTCTATGCACAAAAGAGGTAAAGCAAAGCTTTTCTTGACTTAAAGTAGATCGTAGATAGTTTTTATCCCGTTTTAAGCAAGAAAAACTTCTCTCATCTGAACAATTTGTCACCGGTGTGCACAGAGCCATGCGAAGTGCTATATCCAGTATAATTAGCTAAGAACTACTTAANAATTATATCGTCGTATGAAATCTTTTTCATAAGTTCTGACTCTATGCACAAAAGAGATAAAGCATTAAGCTTTTCTTGATTTAAAGTAGATCTTAGATAGTTTTTAACCCGTTTTAAGCAAGAAAAGCTTCTCTCACCGGAACAATTTGTCACCTGTGTGCACAGAGCCATGCGAAGTGCTATATGCAGTATAATTAGCTAAGAACTACTTAAAGGTAAACAGAAAGACCAAGGCTTGGTAAAACAGGGTGACCCAGAAGAAAAATCACTTTTGAAAATTCAAGGAAACGAAAACTGTACATTTTTATAGAACTTTAACTATTGCAATTTAAAGAAAATTTAATGCAATTTATTTTTAAATTTACCTTTATTAAATTACATCGCCCAGGAGATTTCCTTGACGCTTACAACATTCGATCAACATATTATCTTGAAATGTGTTCGTTAGAATTACCTCGAAACCTATTTTCAATTTTTTGCCGAATGCTCAGCTTCAGTTGCTGCATGGTTGTTGGATTATAAAAGTATGCTCTATTCTTAATGTAACACCACAAAAAATAATTTTCTGGAGTGAGATCAAGGCTTCCTGGTGGCCAGGAGATGTCACCCCTGCCTGAAATATTTTTTTTTTGTGGGAACATGTCTCTTACCATCTAAATGCTCTACTTTGAAGTGTGACACGTAGCACCATCTTGATGAAACCAATGAAACCAAGTGCTCCGGTCATAACCTTGCGAATCTTGCAGCTTTGAAATCAAAAAGCTTTTCAGCCTACCAGTATAGCGCTCTCAAAAATTAATCATCCTTTCAACGCAACAAACCAATTAAGCAGTGGTGAAATCTCACTGCCTCTAAGAAGCGCTAATCTCATTCCAGCAGACTTTTTTTTGTGGGGTTACCTTATGAGCAGAGTATACTCTAATAATCCAAAAACTCTGCAGCATTCATCTATCCTGAATCAATTTTGAGGTAACTCTAAGGGCTCTTGCACACGACGCCGCCACCGCGCCGCCGCCGCGCTATCGCCGCGCGCCGGCCGCTACACTGTTCATACGCACCGAGTAAGTAAAACCGCCGCCGCGCCGCCGCCGCGCCATCAAAGCATAATTTCGCGCGCGGCGCGGCGGCGGCGCGGCAGCGGTGTTCACGCGGCGCGTATAAACAGTGCAAAGACGCGGCGACGGCGCGGTAGCGGCGTCGTGTGCAGGATCGCTTGCAAAAGTTTTCCAAAATTTTGATGTATGTTGACCGAATGTTGTCAAGGGAATCACATGTACGATAAAATTTATAAAAGATAAAAGGTAAATTTTAAAATAAATTGCACTAAATTTCCTTTAAATTGCAATAGCTAAAATTCTACAAAAATGTACAGTTTTCGTTTCCTTGAATTTTCAAAAGTGAATTTTCTTCTGGGCCACCCTATAAAACAATATACACGAAGTTGTGGAGAGATGGTACTCGTGCTAGGCTCCGAAGATCCTGTGTTATGAGTTTTTTATTTTATTTTTATTAAAACGCTATTGGAATATTTTAAAATTCATGATCACATAAGTATGTACCTAAGTATATATTACAGTGCGTTTATTAATCGTTTATTTATTTATATGGATTGTGTATACGTATAATTATTTTTTTTTTCCTGTAAAAAAAAATTGCTTAAATTTGCCGCCCCTCTAAATCTGCCGCCCTAGGCACTGGCCTACTTGGCCTATTGGTAAATCCGCCACTGATCTAAAGGCCTTTTGAAATATATATTGGTTATGGCTATTGGAGCGGGTACCACTTTCCATACATTTGTGCCCATCATCCTTTGACCATTATGAGTAAACAATTTTTTTCCTAATTAAGATTAAAATGGGTTTATTTGAAGTCGAATAAGTATTTAACGGTATCATGTAAGACTCGCATAAGGCTTGGATATGTAAAAATGAATTCTTCAACTGAGTGAATCAAACTAAGGGCCATATTCTGAAAAGATACTCAAATGTATATTCAATATTAAGCAAACGATTAACTAAATTCAACTAATCATAGGCCGCAAAAACAATTTTGTCTATCTTCTATCTATGGAAACATTCCGCTTATTGTATCTCGTTTCTAAGGTTTTTTTGTTGATCTATTTTAATTTATTAGCGGCGTGACGATAAATAATAAATAAACTTGTTGTCAACTTATGGTAGACACAATAAATAAAACATATTCCAAAATACGTTATCTCTGTAACTAGTTTCTTCAGTTTAGCGTTACTCAAAGGTCAAGGGTAATACTAATTTTAGAGACAATACAATAAAACGCGTATTATTTAGCGTGATAATGGAAGAATACATTAGCTACAGTCGTAAAAACTTAATCACTGAATAATCTTCATTTCCATGACATAATAAACTGCCAAGAGTGAGTCGGAGTTGCACATCATCTACAGACCTCGGCACGGCTTGATAATTTGATATGCATGCAGTCTTCTTATTTATATCGTACTGCTTTTCCTATTAAAATATTCTTCCAAAAACAGAAAACCCTTTTTTTTTTTTATCCACAACGAGGAAGTTCTTGGCCTGTATCTCACCTGATGGTAAGTGACGATCAGGCCGAAGGCGGATTTATCTCTAAAAGCAACCTTGTGTTCGAGAATAGATTGATGGGTAAATTAGATCACCCATAAACAAAGAAGCATAGATTCATGTCCTTGAGCGGCGCCTGCGCATCTCTTGGAAACCATAGTGCAGTGCTCGTCTGTCTGATTGGACGACAGAAACCTTAGCTTAAATGGCATGTCATAAATGCGATTTTCCTTTACATTTGTAGCGAACAGACAGGCACTACGCGATTTTGCACGAGCATTAATAGAGAAAACAGCATAGATAGACTCATGTCCTTAAGCGGCGCTTACTCATCATTTCGAAGTCACAGAGCATCGTCTACCCGGAGGGACCTTAAGTTGAACATTATAAATGCGATTTTCCTTTAGAAAGAAAGAAGTATAGATAGACTTACGTCCTTAAGCGGCGCCTGCGCATCGCCCGGCTTGGCGATTTCAGCGATCGTGAGCGCACAAGCGCGGCCGAATACTACGATGTCGAGCAGCGAGTTGGCGCCCAGTCGGTTGGCGCCGTGAACGGACGCGCAAGACGCCTCGCCGGCTGCGAATAGGCCGGGGACTACGCGGTCTTGACCGTTGTAGTGTGTGATCACCTAGTGAAAGATAGGATTGGTTTACAACTGACATTTCTATAATGAATCAGACAAATCTTTGCATAAATTACATGTTAAAATTAGGGTTTCTTTAGACACAAAGACAACAGTACCTTAGCACTGCGTTATAACGTAGCGTAGTTTGGATGTCATATTGACAACAAATCCCGTACCGATTTACCGCGTGAGATGTGACGCCGGCATAAGCTAAAATGTATACTAATGAAAATCGTCGTTGGATGTTCTCTCACACCACAATCGTTAGAAACTATTCAACGAATGGAAATTGCTCTCCAAATGCGTGTCCTGTAAAATGTGTGTCGGACATCTCCCACATTTTGCCAATGCGGAATACTTAAACCTACACAAGCTCTAATTTGTCTTTAGACCTAAAGATTTAATTAACTATGCAATAAGGTTCATAATTAAATGTTTTCACACTCACCTCGCCGCGGAAGTTGGTGGGCGTGCCTCCCATGTTTTAGTGCACAGTGGGCAGGACCGGAATAGGCTCCTTGGTGACGTCAAGTTGACTTGGTGACGTCAAGTCAACTCCCGCAAATATTATTCCGTCTCGGAGATATCGGCCATATAGTAATCATGACAGACACTTAGCTACGGTTGCCTAGCAACAGTCTCACCTCGCCGCGGAAGTTGGTGGGCGTGCCTCCCATGTTGTAGTGCACAGTGGGCAGCACAGGGATGGCTCCTTGGTGACGTCAACACCCGCTAATATTATTCCGTCTCGGAGATATCGGCCATATAGTAATCATGACAGACAGTTAGCTACGGTTGCCTAGCAACAGTCTCACCTCGCCGCGGAAGTTGGTGGGCGTGCCTCCCATATTGTAGTGCACAGTGGGCAGGACCGGAATAGGCTCCTTGGTGACGTCAAGTTGACTTGGTCACGTCAAGTCAACTCCCGCAAATATTATTCCGTCTCGGAGATATCGGCCATATAGTAATCATGACAGACACTTAGCTACGGTTGCCTAGCAAGTCTCACCTCGCCGCGGAAGTTGGTGGGCGTGCCTCCCATGTTGTAGTGCACAGTGGGCAGGACCGGAATAGGCTCCTTGGTGACGTCAAGTTGACTTGGTGACGTCAAGTCAACTCCCGCAAATATTATTCCGTCTCGGAGATATCGGCCATATATACTAATCATGACAGACACTTAGCTACGGTTGCCTAGCAACAGTCTCACCTCGCCGCGGAAGTTGGTGGGCGTGCCTCCCATGTTGTAGTGCACAGTGGGCAGGACCGGAATAGGCTCCTTGGTGACGTCGACGCCCGCGAAGATCATGGCCGTCTCGGAAATACCGGGCAGGCGCTGCTTGAGTTGTTCGGGCGGCAAGTGGTGCAGTTGGAGGTGCACGTGGTCCTTCTCGGGGCCGCAGCCGCGACCTGACGAATTTAATAGAAATGTTTGATTGTAATGATGTATACTTAATGAAAGTTGGCACCACTGGTAAGGGACAGGATCATACTCAGCAGTGGTGGCACCACAGTGCGTGGAAATGCGATAGTCCTCTTACAGCTTCAGCGCTCGCCAGTTGGCCCTACTGTCTTAGCCACAGTGAGCCGAAATACGGTAGCCCTCATTGTGTTCACTAATTGGCACCACTGGCGGTTAATGTCTTGTGGCTAAGAAGTTGGCCAACTGGTAAGCTCTGACGGGTAGGACTATAGGATTTTCAATCAATAGATTGGCGCCACTATCGAGTAAGCTTCATAATTGAATAAATGATGGAACTGTTTTATTTAAACTCTAATTGAATCAACCAATAGTACTTTATGTCACGAATGATTTTGCATAGTAAATGACAAAGTTTAAATTAAGAGATCAATATAATACACTTGCGAGCAAAAGTATGGAATCACTTACATGAAGTTGTTTCCACGCGATCTTGTGTACTAACCAATTTGTTAGTAACAAAAAAAGTAGCACCATTTTAAAGATTTAACTTTTAACTTTAAATTGATACCAAATTCATTTAAATCACACCAGTATTTAAAAAGATATCCCGGCTGATGTGAAGAAGTAAGGAAAAAGACATGTATCAACTGTTTGATACGTCGCGAGTTGCGGCCTATTTACCCCCCATAAAAGCAAGTGTTTTCGGATTTTTGCTTTCACACGTTGATCCATACACATCTCCGCTTCTTTTGACACTTTACCTGGGATTCTACACCTTCAGAAGCAGCACAAATCGTTGCACTATTGCAAGAAGGGCTCAGCCAGCGGGCTGTCGCACGTCAGCTCCACATAAGCCAGTCCTGGGTTTCGAAAGTTTTAAGACGCTTTTGGGAGACTGGTGGCTTTATCCCGAGACCAAGTTCTGAACAGCGCCGGTGCACATCGCAGAGGGATGACCGTTTTTTCATGTCAACCTCTCTACGAAATCGTCATTTGACTGGTATCGACGTCCAGCAAGAGCTCAGAAATGTTCGTAGGATAGCTGTTAGCAAGTGGACAGTTCGTCTAAGATATAAACAATAGAATTTGACTCCAAAAAGGCCTGCCACAGGCTTGAAACTGACGGCAGGTCACCGATAAGCACGCTTTCAATTTGCTCCTACACATCTCGATGGGAAGTCGAGCAAGCCACCCCCATAAGCCAATGTTTTAGCGAACCAGCACTGCACAAATCGCTCCCCAGGCCGTCTATAGACCCGACCTCTTCGACTGCTGCACTGCAAAAACAGTCTGCATTCATCGGAGAACAAAACTCGCCTCCATTACTCGCCTTCCGAGTGCGAGCTAATTGAAAGCGTGCTTGTCGGTGACCTGCCGTCAGTTTCCAGCCTGTGGCAGGCCTTTTTGGAGTCAAATTTTATTGCTCATATCTTAGACGAACTGTCCACTCGCTAACAGCTATCCTACGAACATTTCTGAGCTCTTGCTGGACGTCGATGCCAGTCAAATGACGATTTCATAGAGAGGTTGACATGAAAAAACGGTCATCCCTCTGCGATGTGCACCGGCGCTGTTCAGAACTTGGTCTGGGGATAAAGCCACCAGTCTCCCAAAAGCGTCTTATAACTTTCGAAACCCAGAACTGGCTTATGTGGAGCTGACCTGCGACGGCCCGCTGGCTGAGCCCTTCTTGCAACAGTGCAACAATTTGTACTGCTTCTGTAGGTGTAGAATCCCAGGTAAAGTGTCAAAAGAAGCCGAGATGTGTATGGATCAACGTGTGAATGCAAAAATCCGAAAACACGTGCTTTTATAGGGGGTAAATAGGCCGCAACTCGCGACGTATCAAACAGTTGGTACATGTCTTTTTTCTTACTTCTTCACATCAGATATCTTTTTAAATACCGGTGTGATTTAAATGAATTTGGTATCAATTTAAAGTTAAAAGTTTAATCTTTAAAATGGTGCTACTTTTTTTGTTACTAACAAATTCGTTAGTACATAAGATCGCGTGGAAACAACTTCATGTAAGTGATTCCATACTTTTGCTCGCGAGTGTATAATATCAATATTTTCAAAATACCTTTTTGCAAGCTGAATAGAAGAAAATAAATGAATGTTTTTTTCGAAGAGTTTAAATTTAAAATGTAATTGTGAAGAAAATCAATCATCACAATGCCACTTCAACATAAGATATTATTAAATGCTTTTTATCGTTCAAAATGTTTTCTAGTAATGAACAAAACCCATACCTTCCATGATCTCCACGGTCATAGCCCGGGAGACGACGTCTCGGCTGGCCAGATCCTTGGCTACTGGGGCGTAGCGCTCCATGAATCGCTCTCCCTTCGCGTTGACCAGGAAGCCGCCCTCACCTCGGCAACCCTCGGTCATGAGGCAACCCGCTCCGTAGATACCTGGAATATACATAGATATGTAATAAATAATAATGCTGCCATGAATGAATGCGAAGATTATGTCATAAAACGGGCCTTAGAAGAAAGGTAGAGGACGCCCATTGGCCACCTGGCGGTCCACTTCTCACACTTGACCTTCACTGGTTGGGATTTTATTGGCGGTCAAGCTGTAGATCCTGGCTACACAGGAGTTACAGTGGTGGGAAAGAGAGGTGGGAATAGTCCCGTGGCGGTCCACGCTGGCCAAGAACTTAGAGAGTGCCCAGAAAAATATTTCGGCAACCCAGGACAGACTGTCCTGGCGCCTCAGTACAAGGAGAGCTGACCCCAAATCATGGTAAATAGGGCTAGGGAAAAGAAGAAGATGTAAGGATGCTGTCACAATGATTTACAGATGGTTCGTTTCAACAAAAGGTTGTCTAATTATGGATAAAGGGCCACAATAATCGATCCTGCACCGCCCGCATTTCCGAGGAATAGGAGTGGGAGGCCTGCCTACATTATATTTCCGTACATGGTCGTCACTCGAGAACATTAATTTATCTAAAGAACCATTAATTAATTTTGAAAATTATAAATAACTTGAAAAAATCGAACTGCCTAAGGCGGGAATTGAACCCACGATGTAGGGTAGGTATACTCAACATTGATGAAACAAACGCTGGCCGTAACAGCGTATTACACTTGAAAATTTCGACGGGTTCATCCAGTGTCTAAGTAGCTCAGTTGGAAGAGCAGTCGCCCGGCAAGCGGAAGGTCGTGGGTTCAATTCCCGCCTTAGGCAGTTCGATTTTTTCAAGTTATTTATAATTTTCAAAATTAGTTTGAGATGCGACTCTTAACGCTAAAAAATAAATAACTAACCATTAATTAAGCTGTCATTTTTATACCCTTGCAGATTTCAGAGGCCAAAATCTATCTAAATACGACTACACTGTTAGCTCCATAATACAAATTAACTTATTCAAGCACTTGATTGGTCAAATATTTATAGGTTTGAATTTGTTCTTGAGTATATTTCTACTCTAATACATAAGTCTAGTAGTAAATTATTATAACATTGGTTTTAGTATCGCGCTTGACATTACAATATGTTATAGAGTACATGTCTAAGCATACACAAAGTTAATAAGCGCATTGTTTTACATTGTTGATTTTCTTAAATCACATCGACTTTTATGTTACGATTTTAAATAATAGTGTAGGTTTGTTGATTCCTACTTATTGGAATGCCAAATAAACATCAAGTGTATTACTGATAACTTATTGTTTGCTGTTCGTCTCCGTAGTAAATGATCATCTGTAGTTTGTACATAGGACTTTGACTGTATTATTTTTGTCTTGCAATATTTTATTAATACTACTGAAGTACCTACTCGGCTTAAGTTTTCTGTATTCTATTGTAAGATATGGAATATATTTGTATGACGAATTCGTGACTTCTCACTTTCGCGAATAATAAAGTATTCAGTCCGTACAGATAATAAAAATATCAAAACCTTTTCATAAACCTAATACAATTTTAATGCATCTCAAGTGCCTCTATAAATGCGGATTACATAAGCCCTCGTAATGGTCGAATGTAAACAAAGATTGCATAGTGTTCGAGATTATGAATCACTTAGATATCATTTGATAACACTGCACAACAGCATTTCTGATGATTGGGTTATGTTACATGATATTAGTCCAATTTTTAATGACGATTTCAAATCTGTGATTGAAATGTCTGTATCAGCTCTGGTTAAAAAAATATGACACTTGGGTCTTTTTGTAAAAAAACACTCTTTTTTTAGAGATTATCCTGTTTTATGAAGTTGTTAAGTTGAAAAAACTTTCTTTTATTTGACTTCCTTGCTGATGCTGAAGGTAGACAGCTCTTCTGAATGATTCAACAGCAGTCAGCCATCATGTCATTGTGTGCATTCCAGTGGCCCTGATAGCGTCCCTCTATCGTACGAAGGCCCTGGTGGATTTGCTCGCCATGTTCTTCACTTAGATCCTTAAGAGTTGTGATAAAATTGTTCAGGTGATTGCGAAGAGAGTGTAATTCGATGTTTATATTACATCCAACCAAAAAAACATGTTTGTAAGTGACTCATACGTTGTTCGATGTGTAAGAATAGTAAGATTTTTTCGGATTTTGCAAAAAAAAAATTAAAATGCCAAAATAACTCATTCCATGTCTTTTCGGAAGACTTAAAGATCCTAAATCTCTAAAACGATCGTTTAAACCGTCTTGGCTACATGGTTTTCAAAATTTCGGGTCACATTCAAAGTCTCTACCACAATGACAGTTTTCGCCTCAAAATCCTCATGTGAAGTATCAACATGAGGTTCAGGTGACTTCTTAGGGTTGAAAAGACGTCTACATGCCAAACGTATGCAAGGAATTACCATTTAGTTCAATATTTTTTGGTTAGTACCATTTTTGTTCAAAAATAAAAATAACAGTCGTCGCGATGGTTCAAGGGTTCCTTTCAGATCATAGCGGTTTCGTACCTAAATCTAAACATATTCTTATTTGTTTATAAACGTAAAAACTCAACGCATCTTTTCCACGCCTTTTACGGAATTCAAGGCTTATCTTTCATTTCCACTGGGTCCCCAAACTAATTTTTTTATGCCAATTTTACGAACTTTGTCACATTTAAACGGATTATTTAAACATATCCTCTCTGCAAATGAAACAAAATTGACTTAGATCATTCACACAAACACTTCTTAATACTACCATATTAAAATATACAAAGAAAACATAGTATTTTTTGAACTGTCGGCGATTTAAGACTGAAATTTAGCAATTTTTGAGTGAAAGCTATAACACGTAAACAAGAGCTGCTACGAAAAAATGGACGGCAGATTCAGAATCAGCGACGTCAAATTAGTAAACATCATGTAATGAAAGTCAATCATCAGCCAAAAGTTGCAATTTTGTTGTGCAGTGTAATCAGTATCAACGCACGGTGATCAATAATGAGATATTAGGTGGATAATATTCAAATTTGACATTGTGAGGGTAGTTAAAACAAATCATCGCGATGTGATTGGGGGTACTTACCTCATATTCTTGTTGAATATGAACGGTTAAAGGTAAGTCATTACTGAGATACCAGCTAGTAAATGCAGTGCTCTCGCTAATTTGTACTGATTTGTTGTATTTACTTCCTGTTTTCGCGCACAGTTATCTGTTTGGTTTGACTTATACAGTGCATTATTGCGTATTATGAAATATGGTGCACATTAATTAAGGTATGTACTTCATTTTCTATAACACTTAGTAAATGTTAATTGTTATAGTAATTTAGAAAAAATATTCAAAACTTAGCTTAAAATTTTAGGTATTTTATTTTATTTTAGAGCCTGTATCTTACAAGGAACATATTAGAACATGGAAATTTTGGTACTGGTAGATAGCTGGAAGTCTGTATTATGGTATTCAATAAAAAAATTTACCCCAAACTACCCCTGCCTGAACAAACTTTTCATTTTTGCAGGAAACGAAAGTACNTGCGCGAGAGATTCTTCCAAAGTGATAAAATGAGAATTTTAAAGTTACTACTACTTTCCTCATGAACGCATAGAGCTATTTAATTGAAATTCATATCAAATAATCAGGTCCATAGTACCTTTAAGCTGTAACAAAATCAAAGTTATATACCTACAGGTTTGTACGGAACCGGCCTCGGTGCGCGAGTCCGACTCGCACTTGGCCGGTTTTTTAAGATTGTAGTCTCAAATACATTATTTTAATAAAGATATATTTATTTACTTAATGATATTTTCAATAACATTATTAGATAATTGTAATTTCAGATTAAAATATTTTTGTCATCCTAAATTCTGATTATTGATCACTGTGCAACGGCCTAAAACTTATAATCAGGATAAAATGCGTACAACTAAAACGCACGGCAAAGCTATAGTAACAATAAAATTAGATCCTTCAAAATTAAATTCAAGACAAACCGAATAAAGCCACAATGTTTAATGGTTTATTCAAGTCATCGGAAATTTCATAATCATTTTCTTGTCTGATTAAGATAAGTTATCAGATGACGTGAGCAGCTGTGTGGGTGGCACGGCGTTGTTTATTTTTATTTTTGAATAAAGGTATGATTTCGTAGCCGCATTCATGCAGCAGCAGCAGACTACCTGTCGTCGCGACTTTTTTATGAATAAGCTCTCAATGCTACATGCTATGACACGTCGTTAGCAGGTTTTTATAGATTTACGTAAAAACCATTGCGTCGCGGAGCGGCACCACTAGTTTTCCTTGGATTTGTAAGAGGTCTTACGTCTTACACAATACGCCGCCACGTTTTCTATGCAGCAATACAGTGCAGTAGGTACTGCTGCGTGCAGCGGAGTACAGAATCATACTTTAACTCTTAATTATGAACTTCTCCTATTTCTTCTGATAATTTCGCTGAGGATCCAATTACAGAAACTTTCCCTAGGGATAAACTTGATCTTCACTGCTTGGATTTCATTGGAGGCCAAGTTGGAGATCCTAGCTATTCGCAGCGGCGGGAACGAGAGGTGGGAATAGTCACGTTTAGCCAAAATTATTTTATACACTCACCGGTAGGATGGAACTGCACGAACTCTATGTCCTCGTTCTGTAAGACGGCGCGCGCGGCCATGGAGGTGCCGTCATCCGTTCTCGGCTAGGAGCCTCTGTTCTTGGCATGGAGCCTGAGTTAACATGATATAACTACGTCCCCCTGCTTCAGTAGAGACACTCACCGGTGGGATGTGAAACTGCACGAACTCCATTATCCTTGTTATGGACGCGTGTGCTCGCGGGCAAACGCCTCGTATCTAGCTTGGAACCTTACCATATATGATGTCGCTGCTGTCATCATTCCTCTTACGAGCAATGTGTTCTGTTTTTGGGCATATTGCTGCGACGCTGGCCCCGCCCCCTTTTCACATCTCCCTTTGGTTTCTGCGATCTGTGGTAGCCACTCACCGGTGGGATGGAACTGCACAAACTCCATGTCCTCGTTCTGTAAGCCGGCGCGCGCGGCCATGGCGGTGTCGTCATCCGTTCTCAGCTAGGAGCCTTTGTTCTTGGCATGGAGCCTGAGTCAACATGATATAACTACGCCCCCCTGCTTCAGTAGAGACAATCACCGGTGGGATGTGAAACTGCACGAACTCCATCATATCCTTGTTATGGACGCGTGTACTCGCGGGCAAACTCGCGGGCAACCTAGCTTTGAACCTAAGTACCATATATGACGTCGCTGCTGTCATCATTGCTGTTACGAGCAATGTGTTCTGTTTTTGGGCATATTGCTGCGACACTGGCCCCGCCCCCTTTTCACATATCCCTTTAGTTACTGTGATCTATGGTAGCCACTCACCGGTGGGATGGAACTGCACGAACTCCATGTCCTCGTTCTGTAAGCCAGCGCGCGCGGCCATGGCGGTGCCGTCGCCGGTGCACGTGTGCGCCGACGTGCAGCTGAAGTATGAGCGCCCGGTGCCGCCTGTCGCTAGGATCGTGTTCTTGGCTTGGAACCTGAGGGGATGTGAGGTAATACATAAGTCGCCCGGCAGTTGTTTCGTAAGGCTACGGTCTCCAATTGAACGCTCTAACGTCAGCGTCAAAAGCTTCTATGGAGATCAAAGCCTAGCATAGGTCTACTGTCCATGGAGGCGAAGCTCATTATGAAACTCTGTCGACGAGCGGCAATGTTCTTTACAGAGTTTGTAAGGAAATACATTTGACGTCTTTGTACCTTAATTTATTCAAAAGTAACTGACTAATGATCATTAATTTCAAATGAAATTAAAATCGTAAATTGAAAATAGGTAAGGAATTAAGTGTTTGATTCATAATTAATTAATATTAAAACGAGATCACTAAGATATACTTCCATAAACTACCGACGTCATTTATAGAAGAAAATCGTGGTATTTATTTTAATTGGAGGCATTTTCTGACGTCCGTTAATTGCATTGCTAGTGAAGGAGAATAAAAAGCATTTAGCTTGGTTTTCCTTTAAATAAAGACAAGAGCTCTGTTGCTGTGAATACACAATAGAAATTACATTAATTCTGCTACGTTATTTCCCACATAAAATATGCGGTTTTATCTACATAGGGGCCGTCCATAAATTACGTCATCGATTTTTTCAGATTTTAGACCCCCCCCCCCCTTCAATCATCCTAGCGTCATTTCTTAATGCCCCCCCCCCCCTTCTCCCAAAATTGACGTCATTACCAGTTTGACAAAATTAAAACACTTGTAGAATCACTTTTTATTTTTTTTTAATAGATAGAGTGATTCTTAAGGAAGGTTTATATGTATAATACACGTAAGTACCACGGGCGAAGCCGGGGCGGGCAGCTAGTATTATATGTAATCAGTAGCGGCGGAAGGGGGGGGGGGGGCTATCATTTACCGTCATCCGCAGACCAACCCCCCCCCCCTAATTTAGAATGACGTAATATATGGACGGCCCCATAGTAGGTACACTAAAAAATTTCAATTATTAAGCGTTTGGAGACTGAACCTTACAAACGTGTCTCAAGGTCGAAAATCAATCAATAACTTACCTATGCAGGGTACCATCTTCCAAGTTCAAGGCGATGCATCCCTTGCAGACGCCGTCTTCCATTAGCAAGTCGAGCGCGAAGTATTCGATGAAGTATTCACAGTCGTAACGCAGAGACTGGCCATACAGGGTGTGCAGCAAAGAGTGGCCAGTTCTGTTGATTTAGGAAAGAATAAGTTTAAAAGGCCTTTGTCCAGCAGTGGACGTCTTTCGGCTGAAACGAACGAACGAACGAAGTTTAAAAGAAAGTCGTAAAGGTAGCAGGAAAGCGCTGGACGCAGGCCGCTACCAATCGATCAACATGGAAAGCATTGGGGGAGGCCTATGTTCAGCAGTGGACGTCCTATGGCTGAAATGATGATGATGATGAAGTTTAAAAGAAGCTGTACCAATTATAGTCCTAGGTTGCGTTGCGTTTTGTGCTTGACATTGCCAAAAAAGATACTTTTAGATACTGGTGCAATAATTGACAGCCTTAAAATATATTAAATGCATAAATAATTGACATAGTTGTGCAAGAGTTAATGTGCGCAATTCGATCCCAACTATTTGGATCGAGTGTTCATTATCCGTGTCGTGAGTTACACTCAATTAATTACTACAGCAAATTAGTACTTTGCTCTTTACGTTTGAGAACAAGTTACAACTCTTCGTTCGTTCGTTCTACAACTCTTACTGATAAGAAATAGCAAAACAAGCAATATTTAAATGATCAAACGAACTTACCAAGTGAAGTTCGATCTAAATTATCCTGTTTTCGCCGAAGAGATTTAATTTACCATGTAGTACCCCTGTACGACAACCCAATCCGCACACAATATTCAGCGCAGTAGTAGTAAAAAACAAAAGAGCGGGCAACCCCACCCCTACCACGCTGTGGGCTCGGTGTCCGAGCGGTCTCATTATATTTAGAGAAGAGATGACATTGACGTTTACCTCCAGGGAAGAAGATATAGAAATCTTCGGGTTGGGAGGGACCTTAAATCTCTTCGGCGAAAACAGGATAATTTAGATCGAACTTCACTTGGTAAGTTCGTTTGATCATTCGTCACTACACTGCACAACTTAAAATAATTACGTTTTTTGTCGGTAAAAACGTCCTGGTGACGTCACTTAAGCATTTTTCTTATACTGCGTGCGGTCGTTGCGCGTGCGCACAAAGGAATGAGACCGCTCGGACACCGAGCCCACAGCGTGGTAGGGGTGGGGTTGCCCGCTCTTTTGTTTTTTACTACTACTGCGCTGAATATTGTGTGCGGATTGGGTTGTCGTACAGGGGTACTACATGGTAAATTAAATCTCGGAGGCGAAAGCAGGATAATGTTTATTCAGGTGCTAGTATTGGTAGAACTGAAACATTACGAATATTTTGAAAATTAAAAATAACGAAGCTTTAGAGTAGGCACACACCGTTGATTTTTAGTTGGCCGATAGTTGTGCCCGATTTCAAATTGTATGAAGAATCGGCCAAATCGAATCGGTGTAGTGTGCGCACTCCCATACTGATCAACAGCCCGACTAAACTATCGGCCGACGAAAAATCAACGGTGTGAGCCTACTCTTAAGTAGCTCGGATGAGGGAGCGGTCGCCCAGCAAGCGAAGGGTCATGGGTTCGATTCCCGCCTTGGGCAGTTCGATTATTTCAAGTTATTTATTATTTTCAAATTAGTTTCAGAGCTGAAAAGTAAATAATTACGAATATTAAATTGCTACTTATTTCAAGAAAAAATAATTACCTGTCAGCAACGGCACAGCATCTGTGAGCCTGTCCTCCCTTCCCGAACTTCAGGGACTGTCCACCGAAGGCACGCTGGTAGATCTTGCCTTCAGGCGTTCTGGAGAACGGCATTCCGTAGTTGTCGAGCTCGATTACCGCGTGCGGGGCTTCGCGTGTCATGTAGTGGATCGCATCCTGTTATTAGATGATTGCTTGTCATTATAATGTGTTGTTTATTCAAAAGGCACAAGGCTAAGCGCCCTTGGAGATTGCTATTATCACTTTTGCATCAAAGCATATAATAATCATAATAATAACATGTTCTGAGACAGTTGATAATTCAAAATCAAAAATTATATAACAAATACTACAAATCAAAGGGAATAAATTACGTTGACATTAACACAAATCGAGAACTGATAGTGAGATGTAATAAAATGTTGGATGAGATAAGTAATCCTGGATTATTGCTGAAACTCCATAAATCTCTTTTATCAGTATCCACACTTCATAATATCAAGCAGTGGAAAATCTGGTCAGTTCTAGTCTTAATTTTACATTAAAACTTGGAAATTCATGCTGTCATGTTCTTTTAAACTTATTTATTTACACATTTCACTGTTCCAGTAAGTGTCCAAGTCATTCCAATAATTAACATGTAAATTAAATGTTAAGTGATTTATCTTTGCTAAATGTATTTCCATTTTCAGTAATTCTTAGAAATTCTTGAATTTAAAAAAAAGAAAACCTACTTATGTCTGATGGGAAACTGTTAGGTTTTTGGCTGAGCTACACAAAATCAAAGTTTATAGAGTTTTATACCTGATCTCCAAGCCAATCGGAGCCCTTAACAGTGTCGTACATATGCCATAGCCAACTGTCCTCTTCCATGTTACCTGTTGAATAAACAAAATATTTTAAAATTACATATTTAAATGTAACCAAGTTAAAAGATGTTCACAAATGCAAAGTGTTTGTAAATGAGACATTGTACGGCTTGTGTTAACATACATGACAAGTAGTAGGTACATTTGATGATAATAGACTTGAGTTATTATTCTATTATGTATGTAGTACATGTATGCTATTTTTTGACGAAGGAGTTCGATTTATAATTACATCGCGCTACATGATAAACTAAGTAGGTAAAAAGATTGAGTCTTATTTTTTTAAGAAAACAAATTATTATTATCATCACAAACACTATTTATTTATTTATTATTTATTATAGCTTTATATTCCACATTTTTACAGTTTGATTCAATCAATCTATATCTCTTGTTTGTGGCCCCACTTGGGTAAAAGCCTCCTCCATCTTTTTCCACCTTTCCCTGTCGCTGGCTATGTGCATCCAATTTTTCCCTGCCTTGTTTGTTATGTCATCGGCCCATCTTTTCTTCGGCCGTCCTACGTTTCTTTTGCCTTTTGGGCCTTGCCATTTTGTTGTTTGATAGGTCCACCTCTTATCTTTATATCTTGCCAAATGACCTGCCCAGTTCCACTTCTGCTTTAGGCTAAATTTAAGAGCATCTGATAATTTAGTTTTCATACGGATGTCTGTGTTTCTAGTCTTTTGTATTCTTCTTAGTTTTAAGATACTTCTCTCCCACAAACACAAACACTAAAAGACATATAAATATGTAAACAAACAAAAACTTTATACCTAAAGCAGCATTGATTCCTCCTTGTGCAGCTACTGTGTGAGATCTTGTTGGGAATAGTTTTGTTACGACCGCAGTCCTGAAGCCTTCCTGCACCAGACCGAAGGCCGCACGGAGTCCTGCTCCTCCAGCTCCGATGACCAGAGCATCGTGTTTATGGTCAGTGACAGTGTATGCCTTGGTCGTGTTAGTGTTCGAAGAGGCATTTCTTTGGCTGGCACCTCCAACAGCTAGGTGGAGGTTTCTGTAGACATGTGTAGCCTAAAACAATTTTATATCATATTTATGGAATATTTTGTGAAACTGTTGTAATATTTGGCTTTATTAATCAACTTGTGACATGATGCATGTAATCAGCATTTACAGTTTATGATAATTAGTACATTCTAGAAACTCTTGATTCTCTCTTAATCTTTATTTTAAAGAAATAGCAAAAGAAATTTAAAAACAGGTGTAAAATATTTAGTAACCATTTGAATGTAATCGAATAAGACGAAATTATTGTTATGCGTACAAAAAGTATTATATTGCACCCAAGATTTAGGGTAGGTCCAGTATGTACTTATGTTACCAAAATATTTTTGTTTAGAAAGTCTCTAGACATGACTAATATTTTTAACATTACGTCTGGCTTAAATTAATTTACTTCCTTATTCTAGAACCTAATTTGAACACATTTTTAGTAGTACCAAATGGCGCAATAGTGGTCGGTGTAAATTCGATAAAAACATATTACATAACATAATTTCACCAAATCGAATGATGACCACATACCAATGTTGCAGGGCTACGAGACATAGCGGCTTTCATTATTGCACTCATGATGGAACTCTCTGTCCGCACCTCGAGTACAAAATTTTAAAATAAATTTAGGTGAAATTCACATTCACGCAGCGATTGCGCTCGCTTCGCTCGCCTCGGTTCGTTTATGTCATAGAGAAAAGTAATACATAGGAAATAGAGAACCCTCTCTGTCAAATTTTTGAGCCTACTAATTGACAGCCTGGTGTTAAATTCCCTGTACTTAACCTACGTACGTAACGCTCACATGCACACATAGTACACGCACACATACATACATAAAGTCCACGCACACATACACACAGTTCACGCACACATAGGCCCTCATAACCTTCAAAGAATTATTGTTTTTATGATGTACAATGTAGAGTTTTTTCAAATCCATTATTTTGAAAATATTTATCTTTATGGTGTACGTATTGTATTATTTTCAAAACAATGGATTTGGAAAAATTCTACATTGCACATGAAAATGCAAATAAGTAAACAAAAACTTTTGAATTTAATAATTTTACTTTATTTATGAACACACATAATATTATACACCAAAAGCGTCTTTTCGCAAAGTTTTCAACAACACTAAAAAAGCATTTGCACATTGAGAAAACTCAGATCACTTGTTGAACATAACAGAAAGTTTCTTCGCGATTCACGAAGGAACGAACAAAACTCCGATGAACCAGAACAGCAGCAGGTACGAAGGAATGAACTTGAAGTTGACTCGACTCTTCAATACTTTAATAGGGCCACAGAACTCATAAACGATGGCTAAGAAAACAAATAAATTTATGAAAACAAATATTAGGATACATCACATTTATGAATATTATAGTTATTTATTCGAATGATTACGAGTTTCGATCATTAGTATAGACAAATATATGAAAACAAATATTAGTAAAAACTAAGTGTATGATTAGTGATATTATGAATATCAATGATTATGTTTTTAAATATGTAGGTTTTAAATTTTTTATGAAGAATGATCATTATGGTATCAAATTGTATGAGAAATATTTTCGGATCTCCAATGATAGGAATTGAAAAGTTATGTAAGAAAATGCGCTACCATTAAAAACAATGCTACTTTATACTTCTTCTACTGCTACTTTATTCTAATTAATTATTTGCTACTTGTGCTGTTAATTACAATTCTCAATCCGTAAATAATATCTTCTTTCTACTGTGTTCGTACTACTGTTCTCGTAAAATCATCGTATCCGATTGTTGTAATCGGATTACATGAACATCACTCGACCATGTATGTCCATTTGGACATATCGGAATGGCACGCTTTGACGATCAACTTGCTGTATCTACTCTAATCCATATCTGTGATCTATACCCTGGTTTATGTCAAAGTTGTCAAACGGACGGAAGAAGAAGAGAAACGTCATAAATTTTTTTTATGGAAAGATAGAACGAAACGCAAACAAAAAAAATATATTGAAGTTGGTAATTATAACTATAGGGCGTGTCGTGCTCGTGTGCCAGTTTCGGATTAGCAGGAAGGTATACATTTAACTATAAGGTGCCGAAATTTATATTACGCTCACACACGAGAGCACGGCTCACATTTTTCTTTCACACAGTTTAAATATTTACCTCCCTCCTCCTTTAAGCTCCTCTTTCTCCATTAGATAAAGTTTTTCATGAGTCTTTCTGCATCTTCACAAACATCCTTGACACATAACAAACATAATGGCTAGTTGGTTTTTCCACTGACGTATTTTTATTTACTTGACACAACACAGCACACAGCTTATTTCATTGTTGGCAGCTGTTGAAATCTATTACGTGCTCTGTGGTTGAAATGTCAAAAATCAAAATAGAATTAATATTTACAAAATTATTTTTACAAATAAAACTGCTATTACGTGCTCTGTGATAAAACTTGTGAAGATTAACTAAATTGGTCTAATTTAATTTTATTATTTTATTGCTGTAAAATGGCAGACAATCCCAGCAGCGATGGCCTATCTGAGGCTGAAAGATTGAGAGGTAAATGCTTGAGGTTATTCGCATTAAAATACCATTAAAATTGTTTATAATTCTGTTAATTATTAGTAATTTCGAATCTTTTTTACGACATGAGCCATTTCTGTGATTTCAGAAGATGAACTGGCCCGCGAATTGGAGCACAGCGATTCCAATGAGGACGATTCACAAGAAATATCTTTGGAAGCTGAAGAAAAGTTACTCAAGGATGAACCCGAATGTTAGTTACTTTTTTGTTTAACCAATTTCAATACATATTTAATTCCCTTTAGTAGTAAGACTAGTCAGTTTGGTTTTGGAATAGTTTCGTTTTCTTGGAGTGGGCACAATGCCAAGTCATTAAACCATGAATCTTGCTACTTTAATGTTTTTAAACTTTCAGATACAACCTTAATGAATTATGGTGAAAGTGTACCAACAAGTAATTTAGAGAGTGAAATTATTGAAACATATTCAGATAGCTCACTGAACGTGGAGACGGTGCACAGGGCAGATGAGCTAGGCAACGTGTACACTGACAATAATTCTGACACCTACATTAGCTCTCAGGGTGACCCTATGAATGACCAGTACGACTCCTACATTAACGACTACTCATTTGACAACTCGATATCAATGGAACAAACAGCTCCATCTGACGTAACTCAGGATAATATTGATATTACAGAAGAAACTAAGGACAATGTAGAATTATCAGAGATGAATGACTACCAACAAAATGAATCTACAAATTATGAATCTCAAACTGCTGAGGAATTATTGAGTGAGAAAGAAAGGGAGAAGAAAAGTAAAAAGGAATTGGAGGAAGAAGAGAGAGAAAAAATGCAGTATGTATTCATGAAATAAATTCATTTACTAATCTTTTGAAGTTGACAACTATTTATGCTGATTATTTTTATTATTATAGCTTTATATTCCACATTTTTACAGTTTGATTCAATTAATCTGTATCTCTTGTTTGTGGCCCCACTTGGGTAAAAGCCTCCTCCATCTTTTTCCACCTTTCCCTGTCGCTGGCTATGTGCTTCCAATTTTTCCCTGCCTTGTTTGTTATGTCATCGGCCCATCTTTTCTTCGGCCGTCCTACGTTTCTTTTGCCTTTTATGCTGATACTGATCAATAATTTTGTTATAGAGTTCTCGTATCCAACTTCACCGAAGAACAACTAGATAGGTATGAAATGTACAGGCGTGCTGCATTCCCTAAGGCGGCCGTAAAGCGTCTAATGCAGACCATTACCGGGGGATCTGTCGGTCAGAATGTTGTCATTGCAATGTCGGGTATTGCCAAGGTGTTTGTAGGAGAAGTTGTGGAAGAAGGTAATTATTATTTAACTAGCTTTCCGCCCGCGGCTTCGCCCGCGTGGAATTTTGTCTGTCACAGAAAAACTTTATCGCGCGCGTCCCTGTTTCAAAAACCGGGATAAAAACTATCCTATGTTCTTTCCCGGGACTCAAACTATCTCTATGCCAAATTTCATCAAAATCGGTTGCGAGGTTTAAGCGGGAAAGCGTAACAGACAGACAGACAGAGTTACTTTCGCATTTATAATATTAGTTGGGATAAAAAAATAAACGTGATTAATAAAAGGGCCCAGTGACCCAAGAGGCCCCAGTCTGTTCTCATAAAAGATCTTTCTCCAGATAAGAAGGGCCTCCCTTGATCCTCATGTGCCCAGGGCCCCTAGTAGGTTAAAGACTGTGTTCAAGTGAAATAATGTGGACTTTTGTGATTAAAATAATAATTTATTTTTAGCACTGGAAGTCCTGGAAAAATCTGGAGAGCCTGGTCCTCTGCAACCGAAGCACCTAAGAGAAGCTCTGCGCAGACTACGGATGCGCGGAACAATACCAACAAGAAAGGCTCATAGGAGCATGTTCAGACTATAGCAAGTATTGTATAAAGTGTGGTTTTTTAGCTACTCACAAAATGTAAATATAAACAAATCATTTGTTCTTGTTTTAGTAATAAGTAATATAAAGGAATTGTATGTGCCTAATTTTATAAATATAAAGTACATTGACTTCAGCAATAACATTTTATTCAATACTTTGTGAACTTTCCATCTATGCTTAGATACACTGTCTTGCCTAAAAACTTGAACTGCTTTATTACTTCTAACATTAATGCATATCTTGTGTGGCAAAAGTTCATGATTTATGTGTAATATGTATAATAATTAGGTTACGTATCATGAAGTATTAAGTATAGTATAGTAGTAGATAGGTAGTTATTTTTTTTTGTAAATTTTATACAATTTAAATGAGATATTGACAAATATTAAAAAATAAAGGAGATATTATTACCTATATGCTTTCTATTTCTATTTGTATCTATCAATAAAATGATTTCTTTTCTAATGTTCACTTGTTACTATAAAATGTGACAGCAGGAATAGATCAACAAAGTCATTTGGGGTAGGAAAGATGTTGAGGAATAAAACAAAATATTAATAAAATGTTAATTTATTACATGATAAAATTGTTATTTTATTAAAAACAATATACAACAGTAACTAAGGTTTATTCATAGTTCGAAAACTTGAAAATAAATCAGTCTTGTTAAAATGGCCAACTACATTGTAGACAAGAGACTAATGGAAATCTTGGAAGGTAATAATTCTAAAAAATAAAACTGTAGTTTGCTACCATAGGAAAGAGAAAATAAAAGTTTACATAAAACCCCTTTCAAAACTCAATTCGTAAACAGAATTGGCACTCATTATTCCAGAATTTATGCAATTTTTTTTATTTTGTGTTCAGTTTTCGATCTGCTAATGTAATATCACAGACGGGTGTGTTTGAAGCCGTTTCTTTGCGATAAACAAACTCGCAAGTGGACCAATGTGATACAACAGAAGTAATTATTCTATCTACAGTTAGAAGGCACAATCAAGTGTTTTTAAAAAGGAATTTGGTAACATTTTGTAAAATAAGATTTCATAATATATTAATATTTTTACAGCAAGGCATTATATTAAAATCTATATGAGAATAGTCCTCGGATTCGACTTACCCATTACAAGTAATTAAAAGCAATGAGCCAATATTGTCAGTTTGTGCAAAAATACCTACGTGTGCGTTTTACGAGGTTCGTTAATATTTTAAAACCAAGCGTGAAGAAATATTTTGGTTTATTTCATTTCAACCTCATACAAATGCATAGTTTTATTACCTTATTGGTAAAATGTAAGTAGTATTAGAGGCTTACCTACATTAAATAGAACCATGTCACAATCGACTAACTTCACACACACGAGTAACATACCCCAACCAGAGACAAAGCTACATTGCACATTATGCAAATACTTGCACTCTTGCGTCGAAACGCCACGTTGATACGTACGTCGTAAATCTGCATGCACTATGTTTTATTATTTTAATTTGCCCTTTTTTTGGAAGCTTTGGCTTTGCTTGGTTCTTTACTCATGCGCTAAAATTACGTTACATAAAATATTCGTACTATGTAAATTACATAATTAGTTCATTGTTTAAAACACAATGCCTTGAAAAGACATTCATGCAGGATAAAAATAACATTAATTTGTTTTGCGTCACTGGTCTATTTAAAACAAATGCATAATTAATTTGTATTTTATCAAATAGACATTTGCTCTCTTCTCTTTCTGCGACACATTATCAAATAAAATATTCAAAAGAATTCTCTGACATTTTGTTTCAAGAAAATGCAAGCTTGAAAATTATATTTGTTGCCATATCACGGCATCACGTCTGCTTACAATCTTGCAAAAATAAGCACAACACTAAGAATACCAACGAATCAGTTTCGTTTCGTTCATTCCTACATAAATCTACTTCGGCCGCGACAGATCTCTGGTGCACTTAAAGCCATACAAACAATAAATCAACAAAATTATAAGACTAGATAAATGCTCTCACATGCTGCGTTGGTCGGGCAACGGGATTTACACGGGTCGACATTCGACGTCATGTTTGGTTAAGTTTAATTGTAATTTGTTTACATCATTTTACGTACTACCAAAATATATTTCATTAGCCGTTTTTTATTACAAATATGACAGACGATATGACATCAAAATCCGAGTTGTTTTCTTTTGGAAAAAAAAAACGTATCTAACTCGGAGCTTCAGTCCTGTACCAAAACCTCTATTACCTCAAAAGCAATCGATCCGTGTAAACCCCCGTTCAGACTAGGAGCCGTTTGACGCCGCACTCGATGCAGAACTTGGCGGAGTCGACGGGAAACTTGCTGCCGCACTCGTGGCAGAAGCGCGACAGCCGCGGCGCCGAGTCGCGGCGCGCGCGGTGCAGTGACGCGTCCGATCCGCTCGACGACTGCCCGCTGCGCTCGCGCCAGGTCGGGCTGCGACGGGAGGACGCGCGGGAACTCGCGCGCTTGTCTGCAATGCACACGTATAAGTAACTACACTTTCGAATAAATCACAGAAACTAAAGGGAGACGTGACAAGGGGGCGGGGCCAGTGTCGCAGCAATATGTCCAAAAACAGAATATATTGCTCGTGACAGCAATAATGACAGCAGCGACGTCAGAATGTAAACAGTTTACATTGCTTGAGTACTGATACCGCAGCGCAGTGGATAATGAGCACAAAATATTTTGATTACTTTGTGTGTATGTACTTAGGGAGGAAAGCGAAAATGGGAAGAAGTTGACAACGTCAGGGGATTATATTGTGAAGTAGTTTGCCCCTAAAGGCAAACTCGGCCATTCACGCCGCTACAGAGAACAGCGACCTAGACTTTAGACAATGTACGAGAATAATTTAGCGAGCGAAACCTAAGTCCAGTAACGGTCGAGGTCTCCCGTCTTGGTCACTTGTGTCTGTAGTGGCGCAAACCACCTCCAACTTACTAAGTTATAAATACAGATTTCAGAAGCATTCGATGGCTACTCAAACAAGATGATTTTAGTGTTTTTCGTTTTAACAAATCGCTGTGTTATCACTGCCTGCTTTCTCACAAATATCTACATAAAATATCAGCCTCGAACTTAGAAACATTTATTTAAAAAATATTACCATTTATTGGATGATTCTCCAACTCCTTAAACGTAATGTCTGGCTGTGGCAACGGTTCATCCAATTCTGCAGATCTTTCCATGGCCAAAAACTCGTCGCTGGACATCGACCTGATTTCCTCCTTCCCACTGGAATCCGAGCCCGCCGGGATTTGCTCCAAAGATGTGAGACCGTTCGGTTCTTTTGAATTGCAGATGGAAAGTTTCGAAGGCGATATTCTGTTCAAGCTATAAATAATAAAAGTGCGTTATAATGTTTTCCTAGAAGGTAGTAGAATTGTAACGAAATATGTTTAAACAAAAACAAATTGAATTTGGACAATCCATTGATATAATTAGTTACCTGACTAACCTGCTATATGCTGAATCGTTGCTGGACTTCCCGTTAGGTGTGTAATTCCCGTTCGTCACAACCTCTTTCTTCTTGTTCGTCTTTTCAGATTTGACACGACTGTTCCGCCTCGCCGTACCATTGTGAGATACATTATAAGCTGACATCTCTTTGGACTGAATGTTTTCGTTCCTATCAGGCTCGTAAAATTTGTCGAAGTCCTTCAGAGATTGCATTATATCTTGCTCCAACTGATCAGCTTTGTGTCGGCTTTTCGCACTATCGCCTTTCTGTACACTCTTCTTTTGAATGGAATCAAGGAGGGAAGTGGAACGTTTCACGGAGGATGGGAATAGACTCTCGTTCACAACATTGTTACTGCTAAAATTGAGAGACATGGATTTATTAACTGGGATCATACCATTACTACCTACTTTTGGAGAAGAACTGATGCTGTTCAACTCCAAATTCCTATTACTATCAGAAAGCTCAGATTGTTTAACAATTCTAGTTGTTGAACTACAAGTTCTTTTGTTCTCTATCTTTTGTTTGTTAATTTCCTCATCAAACGATGTCATGAACTCTTCGATATCAAAGTCCTCGCACAGTGACTCGTCGTCTCTGATAGAGCCCTTGGAGGCTATACTTTGCTCTAAAGAAGACATAATCTTATCGTATTGTGCGCTTAAATCATCTATGATTGGGGCAGTGTTTTTGTTATTTATGCTATTACTAATGTTATTGTTATTTTCTATTTTCTTAATATTATTTTTCGTCTTTTCTACATTATTATTTAATTTGTTATTGAAATTATTATGAGTGGTACTGAAAGATTCGAATTTAGCAGGTAAGTTTTCTGTAGTGAGTAATGACTCCATACTGCTGATGATATCGGGATTGTTTAAAATTGTGTTAACGTTGATGGGCAAATTGTCATTTTCGTTAATGAGTCTAGGATCAATGTAATTACTATCGGTCATTGACGAGTTATCATCAGCTAGAATGGAGTCAAGGTTGACGAATTCTTTTTTGTCGTCCTCCCTTTTAATTTTGTCTAATTTAACAGGCTGTTTTATTGTCGTTCTTTGGAAGCTGTGATACATAGAAGTAGCTATTTTTGGAATTTTATCTTTTGGCTTTGGTGTGCTATAATTAGATGCCGTGTAACTTGAGAACGATCTATTCAAATTACTATTCCGACTGAAGTAAGATTTTTCCGGCGTACTTATATTTTCTTTACTGGATTTAGTGAATGTTGTATTGAGTTTTTGACTAGATTTATTTTTCTCGTTCCTAACCCTAAACGAACTGCACCTACTACCGAAGGTGCTACTACTGTTATTGTCATTGTTCGTGCTGCCGAATGATTTCATTCTTTGTAGAGTGGGAGTTTTCTGATATGTTTTGTTGAGAGTGTCTTTCATCATCTTAGTGTTATCGGCACGAAGGTAAGCGGGGAGAGTTTTCTCTTTACCGGTGCGTAGGATAGGGAGTGTGCGGTTGGGATCTTTGGAGGAATTTTGGAGCTTTTTGGGAATGTTGGTGTCTGAGGACATTAATTCTTTCATTTGTCTCGCGGCTGATACAAATGGGTCATAGTTGTCGTCGAGCCTGGAAAAGTGTAAATAAAATTAAGTGATTTGTAGTATGTGTTGGATGAGACTTAAAGATAATAATCTAAAATATTTTATAGATAATGATAGGAAAAGGGAAGGGATACTTAAACCTCTTAAGTTCGATTCGAGGCAGTTTCAGTGGGGGACCTTCAGTTAGTTCATCGCTTTTTTCATCTTCATTTTCTTTAACAATAAAAGTCTGATGTTCTGAATTGGTGCGGTTTTGTTCACCCAGCATTCTGTATTTTCTGTTTGGCTTGTAAATTTTTTGCATTCTACTTTTGCTACAGGCAAGTTTTCGTTCAGGTTTGTTTGTTTCCTTTATAGAGGGCAGTTTGAATTCAGATGCGACGTTTTTAAGAATATTGTCATCTTTTGGTTTCTCTTCATAGAATTTTAATTGATAAACAGTTATATGCTCCATGTCACAAACGTTTCTATTGGTATCAACACTGTTTTCCTCATCAGATTTTTTTAAAGCACGATTGACGTTTTCGTCCCCAGCACTTTCTATCAAGTGCTTTAAATCACTCTTTAATTCTTGAAAAGAATCAGAGAAGTTGTATTTAGACGATTCTACATTTTTGTTGGTATTTTTATCGGAGCTATTGTCATTAATGGTTTCAAGAGAATTGGTTCTCGGCGTATGAATATTTTCAAGGTCATTCTCTATATTTGATTTTTCTGCTGCATAATGACTACTCATCATTTTATCTGTAATATTAATAAATTCTTCTAAATCAGCAGGATTCTCAGTAAATTTTGTGTATGTGTCGCCACTTCCATGTCGACAAACAATATCATTTTCTTCGTCGTCTACGTTTTGATCGTATTGGCCGTTATCATGATATTTATTTTCATCAGAATTATCGAGATCCGCACTCATATCATGTTCGTAATTTTCATCATAGTGTTCAGCTGAAAGATCGTGAATATCTTCTGTCGTTTGTTCAGTTTCATCATAAGTCAAGCTTTCAGCAGTTTCTTTGGATTTGTATTTGCTTTTATCTAGTTTGTCTATGTTTTTACATGCATAATCTTTTTTATTAGATTCTGGAACACTGCTGACCGATTCAACAACATCATTATCGGATGTACTTTTTGTGAATAGGTAAATGTTGGTATTAGAATCCGTCAGATCCTCTTTGGAGTCAGTTTGAACTTCTGTTTTTATTTTTTCTTGTATATCACACGAACTAACCATTATTGGATTTTTGTACAGTAACTCAACCTTGGGTTCGTCAACATGTTTCGGGATATTTTTGTCCTTATTAGCAGTGTTTGTTTTTTTGTTACTTTTAGGATTTTGATCTAGATTATCGTATATAACACAAGGTATACATGGACAGATTAATTCTGTGTTGATTCCAATAGACGCGCAGTTTTTATCAGTGCCAGCAGTCGACTGATCTTCCAGGCTGTCTAAACTCATGCTGTTTTCTTTCACTAATTTTGTGTCTCGCACTTCTTTCTTTACTGTAACTTTTTTCTTTTCACTATCTTGTACCTTTTTTCTTTCAACTACTTTCTTCTCTTTTGAAACTGATACTATTGTAGATTTGGGAGCAGCTCTTTTTTTCCTGGTGATTGGTTCAATAACTTTTAAATTCATATCATCGTTCACTTTATTATCTTCGTCTTTGTAATTACTAGATAGCGGATCCTCAACAGGTTGAATCTCATTTTTTAAATTAATTTTCTTTGGAATAGGTATCTGACTTTTATCTTTTTTATAAATGGGTTTCTTTTCTTCTCTAGTTTGGTTTCTTTCTTTGTATTTATCTGCGATTTCTTCAAGTTTTTTCAGTTGTTGCTGCTTTTTTGCATTCATTTTATTTCTAATCTTATTTTGCGTTGAACTTTTCTTGATATTAGGATCAGTATTAGTTTGTTGGATTGGTGTTGGATGGGATTCTTGGTCATTATTTCTATTGGAGGGGGAAAGGAAGGGAATTTAATTGAGTAACAATGTTTTGTATCAAACAAATAAGGAGACAGGAATGTCACGCTAAATAAATGTAAACAAGAATGAAAAAATAAATAAAAAAATAATCACCAGGAGCACCTTCCTTTCCCCTTATTTGCTAAACATAAATATGTAGTAGATAATAAGTTCTAGGTTCATACCTGGAGCTGCTTAGGTCTCGAGCTAGCCTGGCCTGCCTCGCCTTGACATTGGCGTCTCCTGAAGAGTTGTTCTGTGAGTTTCGAGAGTTCCTGATCACTGGCACGTGTGGTGAATCGTCGTGGCAGTCGTTGCTAGAGACAGATTCTGTAAAAGAGTTGAAAATGCATTTCATCTATGTTTCAAGAATACCAGATATCTCTTTTATTACACATCACTTGGATTTTTATGTGATCCAAAAGGTTTTTTTTTTAAAATCAGCTGCATCAATTAGAAATAGATTCTATTAAAATCCTTTCTTTATTTAAAAGGCTTGCAATGCTAGTAGCGGTGGCGTAAAGGTGAACGCAAATACCTAAATGCGCCGTTACTCGCTAGAAGCATCGCACGCTATTGAGAGTAAGATAAATGGTTTAGTGGGGTGCTAGAAGTGAGTACCTACGCCAGATGACGTCATTACTAAAGACTTACCTGAAGCTCTAGTCCGACCATGCTTGTTATAGTCGCCGTATTCGCGCGGCGGCGGCGGTGATCGGCCTCGCGATGAGTCGACCGACCCCGACCGACTGTTGGACGACTTGTCACGGGTTTGAGACGACCTGCAACAAGTATTTAGAAAATAAATAAAAAGAACAGCTGTAAAAGAGACGAGACGATAGATAAAGACGGCTAGTTGGATGGGCGTCTGGATTTGTCTAAGTCAAAGCTTTTATTCAGTACTTAGGCCAGTCCTGGATCTGTCAATAGGCCGTATAGGCCGCGGCCTAGGGGCGGCAGCGTCCTAGGGGCGGCAGATTTCAGATGACGCTTAGTCGATTTCAGAAGATAAAAATTAAATAAAGATCCAACCCGACCCTAGCCTACGGGCGGCAAAACTGTAAATCCGCCATTGACTTAGGCCCTTTCCAGGGCGCCTATACACTTCCGAAATATAGCTTGCCCTACCACTACTTCAGGACAACATATGGGCTGGTATTGAGAAGAAGTGGCGGAAGAAACTCTGTCACCTTTGTCACATCAATTGGTCACATAAGCCATCATCCCATGATATTGGATTGGTTAGAGTTTGTATTCAATATCCTGTAGTTATACTCTTACTAAGCTTTAGTAACATCTAAAACTCGATTATTGAATATCTAAGGTTTCCTATTCGATAATTTTGTAAATTACGTTAATTGCGCTCACCTGCACCATTACAACTTTTTAAAAATATGCAACACATTAATGTTCTTGTAGAACATCATTTAGAAAGTGGACCGATTGGAATAATTTTAAATGAACCACGTTTTAAAGACATCTTAAGAATATGTTAACATAATAATTATCTTGTAAAACATCACAGTAAGGAAAATTTAGCACTAGCCTGGTCTAATTAGAAACCACAGTCACATTCTTCTTCAAAGTGATCGTACATGTGAAGCACATAATATGTTAATAAACTTGTTGTTCTACATAAATTGTATAAGATGGCAGTTCGTATCTTATAATATGGACTCGTACAACTTAGGTAGGCCACTAGTTGCACATAGTTCTGCCAAACTGGGCATGTTGTATTGCCGGTGAAGTATCAATACACACTACCATGATCTTTACACAAACTTGATCTTTATCACAGGCGTACAAATCACAAATTCCTATGGCACCTTTATGTCAGACTATGTTGCCTATATGTCTGACGCTATAATACTTCATCATTGCTATGGTAGGTCAATGGACTAAATCGCCTTGGCAAGATACAGAGTTATCGTCAGCTAACAGATGTGAAACATCAATAAACATGTAGTAATGCTTGATTGCCTTCCAGTACAGTTGTATTTAGTGCGTTAATGATGCAATGAACACCACAACAGGTGATCATACCATCCAAAACTATTATTATCAACACGCGTGATGGTAAGCACCGGTTGTTGAAGTTGCTGCTGTTTTAAATAATAACTGTGTCAAATCGTTACGGCTCAATGATCCTGGGAAACACATGTAATAATTTTAATGATAGGGTCTAGTGACAAATTAATTAGTTATGAGACCACCATTATCATTTTTTACGTCTCGTACAGACATTCAGACTTGATTATCTATAAATATTTTGGCACCCTCTCTTTAAGTACCTACAAAAATTTCCGTATGAAAGAAGTCTGCGCGTGCGCATACAAACAACTCCTGTAGACCGTGCATCTATCTCAGACTACAGCCTGGCCTCCATTTGAAGTAATGGAACCCACACAGCAAGGTCGAGTAGTCCCGGGGTATAACTTTTTTCGGAGGGCCGCGCAAGTTTCAGCGTAGGCCCTTACCAGTTAGATACGGTCCCGCAGTTGGCTACACAAAATTGTAGGTATATCGTCTACCTTCTGCCGCGTACAAACGGCGCTTTATACTGTGTGCGCGCTTTCAGCCGCTGCTTGGCATCGCGGCTGCGCGGGAGTCGCGGACAGTATTTTCGCTTTGTTAAATTCGTTTGCTGGTGATTGGACTTAAGAGACTTTTAAGCCAATTTCCCGTAATTAAAAAGGGTATATCCACCTTCTGCCTCGCACCAGCGGCGCTTTATACTGCGTGAGAGCGTTAATAAACCGTTGCTTGGCATCGGCGGCTGCGCTGGTGACGCGGGCAGGATCTTCGCCTTGCTCAACTCGTTAGTTGGTAAAATTGGGCCTAAGATACTTTTAGGCTACTTTCCTGTTGATAAAAGCATAAAACGGTAGCTATATTCACCTTCTGCCTCGCACAAGCGGCGCTTTATACTGCGTGCGAGCGTTAAGCCGCTGCTTGGCGTCGGCGATGTGCGGCGGCTGCGCGGGCGCCGCTGGTAAGATCTTAGCTTTGTCAGCTCCATCCACCCGCGCGAGTTTTAGAGTAGGCGTGAGAAGTGAGTAGTGAGTGAGTAGAGTAGTGAGTGAGTAGAGTAGTGAGTGAGTAGAGTAGTGAGTGAGTAGAGTAGTAAGTGAGTAAAGTAGTGTAGGTAGTAAGAAGCCACACGGTGCAGCGCCGCACCGCAAACATTTTGCCGCATCACTGTACTCAATGTGGTATGCGGCGCCGAAATACGGCACCGTCTCGCTCAATCAAATGCGGGGTGTACCTGCAGTGCGGCGCCAGAACGCACCGACTGGCATATTATTGATTTTTATATGAAGGACGCTGCAGCGGCACCGCTACGGCGCCGCGCCGCGACCACACCGCACCATGTGGCTTCTCCCTTACAGGTTAGATACAGTCTCGCATTGGCTACACAAAATGTTTTATCCACCTTCTGCCTCGCACCAGCGGCGCTTTATACTGCGTGCGAGCGTTGAGCCGCTGCTTGGCGTCGGCGATGTGCGGCGGCGGCTGCAGCAGCAAGATCTTCGCTTCGTTTATATCGTTTTTTTTAATGAAATTAGGCCTAAGAGACCTTTAGGCTAGGTTCCTGTTGTTAAAGGGTATGTCCACCTTCTGCCTCGCACCAACAGCACCTTATACTGGGTGCGCGCATTGACCTTTAGGCTAGGTTCCTGTCGATAAAAGGGTAGCTATATTGACCTTCTGCCTCGCACCAGCGGCGCCTTATACTGCGTGCGAGCGTTAAGCCGCTGCTTGGCGTCGGCGATGTGCGGCGGCGGCTGCGCGGGCGCCGCGGGTAAGATCTTGGCCTTGTCCGCGCACCACTCCACGTGGCGCTCGAACGCACGCACGCCGAACGCTCGGCTGCAGTGCGGGCACTTCTGCAGCTCGGCCATTGGCTGAAAGAGTGGACGTATGATTATCTCTTTATTCAATTTCCTTCTTATTTAATATTTTTTTTTACAATGTAAATTATAAAAAAACTAAAAATACATTATAAAAAAAATTCTTAAAAATAGTTAATCCGCTGGTAGCGGAGCAGGGCCCAAGCTACCGGTGGTCAGGGTCACAGGCTGAGGAACCTCCGGACAATGCGTGCCGTGCTGAGGATCACCGCCTTTTGAATCTGACGTATGATTATTATTATGTTTTTGACACCATAAACTAAACTTTTTTGACTATTTTTTTACGAGATACTATCTCAGAAGGGTTATTGTCGATTTTAGACAGAGAAAAGTATGCGCCATTTCATCATACTTCTTAAATATCTCGTGACAAATAACAATAACCCACCCAGATAACCCAATCAGTGTTTAATTGACCGTAAAATATATGTTTTAGTGTCTTTGAGAACAATAAAATAATAAGTCAATTGAGTTGGCGAAAAAATGCAGACTTTTTGGGGAAATGCGATAAGACTAAAAAGTTCAAACAAATCCAAAGGAGATGGAAGTCGCGACAGTCTTGGGGTAGCAGCCAAGTTTCTAAACCACTCTCAAAAGTCATCGAAATAACACTTCGTTATTTTATTTAATTGGTAAGCGAAACTGCACAATGACTTTGCTAAGTTGTCCAGCTTCACTTGGTTTTTAGTCACGATTCGATTTACATAACAAGTCATATTTTACCCAAAATGATAATTTCTACGTTTGTTTTGTCGGTAATATAAGGTAATGAACCGTAATTATCATTACAAAGTGGCCTTTAGACAATAGTCAGCCAGCGAGGCTGTGATTATCTGCATAACAAATGAGTCGCTTCCTTAGCCATAGCAGGCTGTTTTAGTATACTTAGGTATAATACTTAAAGATCTGCGGAGTTTATTTTAAAAACAGTTCGTTTTGCTTGACAAGGTTGCAATTTATCATTATTAATTGGTTTCAGATCTTGTTTGTTACTACAAGATGTTGTTGTGCTCATGAAAAGTTTTCCTTTTGAATGAGTGCAGGAAATTGCGTCTGTCTAGCGTCTGTCTAGCAGTGGACTTCTAGACGCTGAAGTTGAATTATTATGCATAATTTAGCGCATATAAATACTTACTTTTGTGATGGTGCTTCGAACTGACTGAGTTTTGGGCTTGGGAACAGCTTTGGCCGTGTTGGGAGGGCTCTTCTCCAAAAATGGACTGTTTTCTGGAAGTCCAAAGTTCTTTGGCAAATACTGTTCTAAATCTGTACCTGTAAATATAAATAATCGGTTCATTACGACGAGGAAAATAATTATTTATAAAAATAATAATCAATAAATAAACTATGTAGCATTTTACGTTCAATTGTCACAATAAAAATAGAACTTGACAGTGACGTTATTTAATATACTAAAAAGTCATGCTATTGCGCATGCTAGATAATAAAACTGCCAGATATTTATAAGATTTCACTGAAAATAGATAAATAAAATATTACAACTTAACATTTTGTGAAAACACTTTATTGCTTTTAGACGCATTCTTTTTATCGGTTTGCTCACTAACTGGAAACAATTTATTGTATGCATCGTCGTTGCAATCCGAGACGTGTAATCCAATATATTTTTGTTTTCCTTCACGACACAGACCATTTGGTTGACAGAAAAACTAATTAATGCTGGTTTAATGACAACATACACATGGAGACAAACGCAAGCGCATGACGTCACAAAAGAACATGACAGTTACAACTCACACACAACCCATGCACTCGCTTAATTATAAGAGAAACATGACCCAAGGTTTCCAAGGGGACCTGGTAGGTGTGTGTTACTGAACATACTGACAAAATATCTTATGTAAATAGGGGCCTGTTAGTGTAGCGTTGAGACATACAGGTTAGTCACAATACAATATTTACATACAAATAAATTTATGCTTCGCTACTTAGCTGCTTAGATTGCTGCAACGTGCGCATTATGTTAGTTTAAATAAATTTTAAAAATAGTAAAATAACTATAATGTTTTTATACCTACTCCTACGCAGTAGTACTAAGCAATCAAAGGATGCAATGATACACATATACGGTAAAATACATAAAATCATATAGATTGACTGTCTGTTATTATCTTGGTGTGAAGGTCAGCCAGACACATAATGTCAGTTTATTACATACAAATTGGCATAATATGTCTAACAAATCAACGTTGTCACTCGATACATGTGATACATAATAATTATAATATAATATACTTACATATTACACGCTACATTAGTTGGTACAAACATAAGGAATTAAGGGAAATGCATTAGTAAACATTCACAAAAGGGAAACGAAGTCACACACGCTCAAGGTTCTAAGTGATACGCAAACTGTCTACCCACTCACCAGATTTAACACCATTCTCCGAAGACAGCCCTTTTACCCACAAAAATAAAACTTTCATCAATACAAGTAAAATGTAAATAAAACTCATGCTACACAACAATTTGCTACATAATTACAATGATATTTTACAAATAAATATGAATAACTAACTAAATATAAATTTACCAACAAAAATAATGATACTGATAAATGATAATACCGAGGTATAAATAATAATTAATATGAAAAGGAAAAATGAAACCCAATCAAGAAGGAAAGTCCACCACCAAAACTGATAAGCAAAATGCAATTATGAATTATTACCTTCGCGTCTTTGTCTGGAGGAGTCGAAGGTCTTTCTTTTCTTGACGGTCATCTTTTCGCATATTTTGACGTGTTTGGCGAGGGATTGTGGGACGAAGGTTCTGCCGCAGACTGGGCACGGGCTGAGAGGGAGAGGTCCTGCAGGATCGGGGGGTACTGGGGCGATGGGATGGGTGGGCACCGGCGGGGAGGGGGGCGGTCCGGCACGGCTCGGCGGGGGGGTCCGCATGAGCGGCCGAAACGAGTCATTGTTGGCCGGCGACGCCTCCCCCGCCGGTTCGGGCGACGGCGATCGCGAAGACTTCGAAGATTGCTGCTGTTGGTGTTGTCGTTTATCTGGAAAGATGGACGTTAAATTTCAGTATTCAGATCAGGACTTCAGGATGTCTTGGGGAATCAAGGACTGATGTGGGAAATCTGGTAGGATTTGAAGAAATATCTCTTCATGGAGACTCATTTAGCCACAGAATCTACTCGGCTTGACTACAAAAAAGTCCAACCAGATAGTTTTTCCGGGACTGAGGGCAACATGACTTGCCTAGGGAGTCTTCTTACTTCCATTGAAATAAAAATTTTAACCATGGTTTTTTAACCCTACTATGGTCAATTGGTCATGTAGCGTTATTGCTTGCCAGATCCCATTCCCTTGCCAATCGAGAGAAATAAGAATTCCATATGCTTTGATAGGAAGACCAAGATTAGAGATAGCCTAGGTATATTTTAACCAGACTGTTATAGATATAACAGTGTGGTATCATAAATAAGATATTTTTGTTAAAGCAAATTTTAATATAGCTGATAAAATGTAAAATACACATTACACAGATATAATGACGAGCAAATTCATTACACTGTTTTTTTACTATCACTTTATGACGGTTTACTATTTTACGAGTATAACCATGAAAATCTAACAAGAATACAAGACTTTGTAGGTTATTTGTTGAAGCCTTTGCGTGACCTTCGCAAGTACCTTTATGACCGCGACGACTCTACGTTTTTCTCAGCTCAACGAAAAACAAGATAATAAAAGCGTCTAGATAAAATAATTTGCCTCAGCTATTATAGATACGACAGAAGACACAGAAATAAGTAATACCTACTTATGTAGCTAGAGCAGAAATCAATTCATATTTTTTCCGTAAAAGGGTTATGTGAGAAAACATTGTGTCTTCCACACATACCAGAGCAAAGGGATTATTTTATAATCAACGATTAACCTGATTAGCGAAAGAATTTTATCGGTGAAATAAGATCGACCTTCACAGGAAAAATGAACTACAACATGAAAGGAATAAAAATAGTTTGTCCTCGCAGAGTTCAAACTTGAAGGCTAAAGGCTATTGATAAGAGACCAGGTACAAAACCAAAACGCTTAAAATATGAAATAATTACACCAGGAATGGTAGTGTCAAACGCATTCAAGGGCGCGTGGTAAGTTAAACATGACGCAACCAGCGACCACAACCTCCATATTGATTAGGTAAAGTTACCTAGAGCACGCGATCGGACCTACGCTTTTTTAATTTAGATCGATTTAAAACATGAAATATTATAGCTATATCGCATGAGTACCAACTGTTGAAGCGGTTATGGTTGACGTATCCATGAATGAATTAGACGTAGGCGTAGAATTGAGGTAGAGAATTCTTGACCTTAAGGTTGATTTCATTATAATGCATTACGTTTAACCTCAGAATATTTTAAGTAGAAAGCCAAAAGCATAATGTGTGCTCGACTGATTGTGACTCTACCATACTTGATGAAGGGAAAAGTTAGACAGATTTCAGCCAAAATTCAACCGCGTAATAAAATTTTGTAGTTATGGCACAAGATGACGCACGCTGATCTTTTTTATCAGATAATACTACCATTAGGGACCTAGATAACTCCAGTAAGAAAGCAAGAAGCACTGGTTTAAAATCCCGTCTTGTTAAGTGGAGAGAAGATTACTCACTTGTTAACACTGGTCGAGTTGGACGATTGGATAATTAACCACTCTTATGTTATTTAATCGTATTGAAACTGCTTGGCAAAAGGGGCAATTAAAATCAAGTCTTTGGTGTAATCAGTCAGCGATTACTAAAATACTGAGAAGCGTTTTTCCAGTAGTTCAAAGAAAATTCTAACATCATTGTTTTCTCCTATACTAAGAATTTCATTAGAAGCATGTACAACATTTACAAGTTATGCAAATAAAAAACCGTGAAATATATCTGCGAAAAGTTTGCTTGTAGGTAATCTGATCCCATTAGCATAACAGCGTTCTCTTGAGGATATTATACTAAGAAAGCTAATAGAGTTACAACTGTGTGTTTTAAATCAGGCGAACTCCTCGTAATGGACTCTGCTAATTAATTCTAAGTGGACGTTGAGTGACCGCTTCCTTCGTAATCGCATTCATATTACGATCGCTATTCCGGTTTCGTTGACACCTATGTTTATGTTATGCTTATTTTGTATGAGTTTGGAATCCAATAGGCGACCTTGATCGGTCAAAATACGTTTAATGGTAAAAAAATATGAAGGATTTTGTATATTTTATAGCGTACAACATGATCATCCTGCAGGTATTGGAAAGGAATTTTTATTGCCTGATTAAATAGTCGTACTGTTGGTTTTCTTAAATTCACAACTAATCAAATGGGTATTGACCCGTTATAGATTTTGTTTCTAGTTTAATTGATTCCCAAACCCCTTCTCATTTTAGGAGTCATTGGATGCAAAGAGGAGGAAGCGAGGATCGTCAGAGCAAAGTGCAATGGGATTGATGCCAGTATGCACTGGCGAATCAGTTGATGAATGGCATTTTAATCGATCGGGGGTGATTGAACGACATTAATTTTGCTGCTGAATGTGTATACTAAACACTAGAGATTGTTAAAGGCACTTTAGGGAAATTTATTTGCGGTGGTAAAGGAGGACTGAGTGAAGTCAACATTGAAGCTCTTTTAAAAATGGTTGCTAAAGAAACAACTTGCTTAGAAAAGGTATGGAAAATAAGCGATTTCCAATCATATCTCAAGGTCTTTGGGGCTCTAAAATTTACAAAACCGTTGAATTAAATGGTGTGGGTGTTTGAACTCGGGCGCTGATCGGCGCGGGCGCATCCCAATCGAGGGCGCTTGAGTGGGGCGAGCGCGCACGCGCCGACTACTAATTGACTTTAACCGGATCGGGTGGAACGGTTCTCGCTCAAAATAGGAACATCTCGATACATAATGGAGTACAATGCTTTATAACATAAGCTAACACATAAAAGTTGAAAGCTTGTTTTACGGTTGTTTACTCTTCGATTCGTTCTGACAATTTAAAAAATTACTCGTCTTCTTTTCTTGAATACAGAGCAGACCTCTGTCTGTATTGTATTATTTGATCATACGTTTAGTATAGTTATGTAAAGACTCAAACATACTCGTACATAAGTGATTAACATTAAGCAGTCTAGCTATTATCCAGACATGATCTTTAAATACTAAAAATGAATTGATTCATATTATTCCAGCCTGCACCTGCGCATAATTCGGGTGTTTATTCTTATCGCGTCAATGCGACGTGACTCAAAATTCAGATTTTATCGGACGATTTCGCAAATATGACCTTTCCGAGAAGAGATTCGCCGTTCCCAATGCTAAGGGCATAAATCGAGTATTCGGCTCGCGGCACGGTCATGCGTGATACGAACGTCAATTACCGGGGCTTTTAATTTGCCTTTTAATAAGCGCACCGCAGTCTGCTGAAGACGCCGACTGACTAAATCACAAAGCTCACAAATCACAGCGCGACATAAGGCAAAAACAGTTGAGATTGATTATAATACTCTTTAGAAGATAAAGAAAACAGTGGCGGCATTGAAGATGGGCGGATCAATAACCCTCTTTATGTGGATGATTTGTGGACGAGTAACGGTGACTTTCCAATTTAAGAGCTAAATAAATGTAACTTACAGGTATTCTTGTTTGCCATATCATTTCAGAGTTGATCTGCAGCTATAGTGCATATAAAACTCTTGTATGTATGTGGGATGCTTTTTTAAACAACAAGCATCAAGATCATGATTCAGATAACGTATTCAAATACAAAGATATTTTTGTCTGGTCACAGTTAAATTAAATATAATAGAATTTACCATTTAATTGTCCATTGTGGAGAACATGACTCGGTCAAAAAAAATGCACAAATATGATGATGACTTGGTCGAATTTTTCAATTATTTTATAACGACTCGCTTCGCCCTGAATACCTCCTACGGCGACACAACGATTCATAATCAGGAAAGCAACTAGCTTTTGATATTGAGCCGGATTCTTCTAGAGATAATCAAGTTTGCTTATCTAATGTGTCATCAGTCGTGTGGAGATGGATAGCCTATTATTAAGGGGAAAGTCATGTAGAACGTTTAGCGAAACGTAATCGCTACGTTTATTTTAATTCATAATACATAATCTTCAAACATAATCAGCTTAACACGTGTGGGCTTCGTCAGACAGTGTGTTTAATAGTGTACAATTACAAAATCCCCGTACTTTAATAGACAAGGGATATTAATTAGCATAATAAACAAAGGAAGAAACGTTAACCATAATTTTGACTAAAAATATCATCACATCACCGCCGCCTACGCCCCGCCCTACTACGGTAAGGAAACACTTTGTCAAACGAAAGATTGGTTTCTTGAACATCGTGCATTAGTAAGCATCAATTATAAAAGCTAACAATATAACTACGGCCTGAGGGTGCAGAGCCTGTAAAACAGTATAAGTTTTCGAGGGGAAGACAGTGCAAGGTAGCGCCCGGTACGATTAGGACACCCTGATTCTTGTAGGTGTTTCCACGGAGGGAACATTTATGTGCAGGTATGATAAATAGACGAAAATACTTGTAAATTAAATTCACTGTTGACAAACCGTCCACTGATCGAATACGAACAGAATCATTTCATGCATCCTGTATAGGAAAATCCAATGAAAGATAAATGAGGCGAGCCATGGACTACTATACCATATAAGAAAGTGAGACTGGCATACAAAAATGGCAAAACAATGCTCGGAATTCTAAGGCGACGGCATGTAAATACAGTACAATACGGTTGCACGGTTTTTGCCATAACAGCAAACAGTTAACACAGAAGATATTTAGATAGGTACCGCGGAGATTGAAGCTTGCGGTCTGTTTATAGGAGTTTTATTCTATTAATATTCTGGTGGGCCTACAAACCGGATAGCCAACGAAAAGACGCGGCAGTTAAACTAACTAATGTTGCCGACGTATTCCTGTCAACACCTTTTTAGTTTCTAAAACTAAGATAAGCCATTCCCTTTGACGGTTACTTTACT